ATACCGAGACATTTTCCTCAATTCGAACTGAAATGGAGCCGTTTTTTATATCTAAACAGCTTTATTGATAGGTAGCCAAAAACACATTGTATATAAATATAAAATTAACATTCATAATGGTTATTTATTTGTAACAGTGCAGCACGAGAGATTCTGTATTCGTTATTAAAAATAATAAAAAAAAGTTCTCCAACTGCGCTCTGAACCACCGACCTCTGGGTTCGGAGCCAGCAACAACTGAGCTATCCTCATTTCTCCCTATTAGTAGATATTTTATAAATATAATTTCGAAGATGGATCTTTCTTAATTATTCCTGTCATTTGAATAAAAAGGAATTCATCGATTCAATGTTGAGTATGTATGTTATTTGAAAAATTACCTTCAACAGGAGCATTCTGCAGAAAGTAATTGATCTGTTCAGCATTGAGTATTTTTGATTTTTTACTTCGGAATCCATCTTTCCCTTTTGAGGAAATAGGATATGTTGCTATATTAATATTGTGATTGATCCTTAGTGTTGATCGTAACATGGTATATATCGACCAGAGTGATGATTTCATGAAATTTGGTAATTCCTGAAAATATTCTAAAAGGATATTTTCCGAAAATGACACGTTATTATCTCTAATTCTTCAGACCAGGAATTTTTTATGTGCTATTTCGTATCATTTACGAGACTTAGCTGGTAGGAACTCATTTTTCACCACTCTAGCTTTTTCCAACATTTCTGGTGGTGTAGAAATAATCTGCTCATCGTCATATCGCTTGACATCATTTTTTTTAAATGAAATTGAGGATTCTCAATAGAAAATAATCATATTTTCAAAAAATATAACTCTCCTGATTCTTTTGGTTTCGGTGGATAGCTGGATTGATTGATAAAAAGATAAGTTCCTATACCCACCTAGCTAGTGACATTAATGAAATTTTCAATTGTTATTGACACATCGCCTAAGCAACAAAACAAGGTCATCTATGAACATACCTATGAAAACCGTGCGATCGCTCTCTTGACGCACACGTGTATAATGAGAAGCTTACTACCATTGTTTTGTGTACAATATCCATCACTTACAGTAGTAGTCGTAGGAAAAGGTTTTTAATTATTACAATTTCAAAAAAGAATACGTTTGCGATAAAATTGCAGAGGTAGCAGGTCACGAAATAATTCGGCTTTCGCCATATTACTGCATTTTCAATCCGATCGAGTTGATATGCATATACGTATTAATAAACAATACGGATCATAACGGGTGCCAGGATGAAGCCAAAAATATGAAACAAATGAATATCCATAAGGATTTGGTGGCATGATACGCATGCGCCATGCGCTATTATAGTAGTCATCAAAGACATGCGTTTTGGTGGACAATGACGTTTACTAGCCTTTCAATCAAAGCAGTATGTGTCTGATCGTTACAAAACTTTTCCTTATGGATAGTCATTTGTCTTCAAAAATCGGCTTCATGTTTCGCTATGGAAACAGATAGAGATTATCCGTATTGATTATTAATACGTATATGTTGATATGGCATGAACTTGAGTCTTATATTCACCAACTTTAAATCCTAGTGTAATTGTACTGATGAAACCAGAAGAAATGTAACCGTTGAAAACTGGAGAAACTGTACAGAACACGTTGAGTGAATTGAAAATTCTAATCGTTGTAATGCAATTAAAAACAAGGTGTCCCGTTCATGAAAAGTGAGAAAAAAACTCATCATCAGACGATATCTCGGAATTCAAACACCATATAGATATGAAAATATTTTCAGGTGATTGTTCTCATGAAACACTGTGACTGTTGTATTTGGATTTTGTCTAAAATCTGACGGTTTGGCTAATATCGAAAGAGAACACAATATTGACTCACCCTGTAAATATAGTAGAAACTCTCTCAAGTAATCCCCACAACGTTTATTATCATCAAACTATGGAAGAGGAAAGAAGACACGTTTCGGATCTATAAACTATCCATTCAATGATGAATAGGTACTTTATTGATCCGAAACATAATGTCCGATAACCTTTTGGAGTATTTTTACTATATGAATGAGAATGCTATTTGTCATTTGGCATTTCTACACCTGTGATTATTCAATTCAATTTCTAGAAACACATTTCTTGACACACATGTTGATGAGAATTTAGAATGTACAGGGTGGTCCATCAATAGTTGTACATAGAAGTAAAGTAGGTTTTTGACATCATATTATGTTCTCGGCCAACCCAACTTAATGAAATATTGGTAATATGAAGCGAGTTTTACTACATCGTAATATTTTGAAGTCCTAAATCTATTATAGTTCTATGTAAAATTACTCAAGGACCACCCTGTATATCGTAGTGTTTTGGTTGATTTTTCCAGGCAGGCACGGTAATACAGTTCAAAAATGAACATAATCATACTTCAAAAATTGATGGCTGATCCTTACTTGCGACCTACAGATGAAACGAGAATTTGTTATGAATCATGTTTCAATAATGAGATGACTTCATCAATTACCATGAGTCAAAACTTGAATTGGAGTTTAGTTTGAACAACTATATACGGCGAAAGCACAATCTAGGCTCTTGTTTTGGCTCAGGTTCTATTGAGGTGTTTTGTCGTAACCAAATAATTAATTCAATAATATTAATAATAATAATGAATTGAATTTATTTGTCAAATATACACGCATTTGCTCTGGAAAGGCAAAGTTCAAGATAGCTACTCTTGAACTCTTGATTAATTGATGCTGTTAATATGGTATATATATAGATGAAAGAGAAAGATATAATTCATGAATCTGAAAATTTAAGTAATATAGACATAGATAAAAAAATTCAAGTTAGCATATCTAAAAAAGTATCAATGTCTCTATAGTATTGTTGATTCAGCAGTTCATTTTTAACGATTATTCTGAATTTATAATTGAAAAGTTTCACAGCATTATAGGTGGAATTTGTAAATTATATTCCAGTTCATGGAAAAAATATGGTGGACTTTGAGTATTGAATATTTTGTGCAAAAAATTACGAAATGGTATTCAAATACATTAGAAACATTAGAAACTCTGAGCCATTTCAAGTGCAGGATATATTGAGAAGTGTGATCACATTTCCTCAGATTGAATATAAATCTATGAACTATTTTGCAGGCGTTGAAGGTTCATATAGAGTGCATTCATCAATACATGAATAGTAGACGATGTTGAAATAATTCAGAAGAAATAAAACCATGAAGATTTCGAAGGTATTTCCCTTGTTCTGAAATTTGGAATATGTTCATTGGCAAAAAGTACATGATTTTTTATTCTGAGAGATTAAGTATCCATAGGAAGTGAATCCTAAATTATCATAGGAGAAATACTTCGCCAAGTGTTTTTTATAAATTTTTGAATAGCGAATTATGAATTGATATTTCACTCTGCTTTTCAACACCGCTGAAACATTCTATTACATTTGATTTAGGACCGTAAACTATATAACATGCTCGAATCGAATCCTCTTCCAGTAACAATCTGGCACAATTGGTACAACGAGAATATAGACTTATTTATACATTAGCCAACCCAAAGAGTTATCACTGGAGTAAGACTATTGTACAACGAGGCAGCCAGCCTGCGAAAAACTGATTACTTGACTTGGAGACTTTATCTGACTCATAGTCCAGGTAACACGGAACTCTCCGCGATATCTTCAGTAAAAAAATGCGAAATCCTCCTACGAGGTGCCAAAGATCACCATGAGAAATACTCTCTGGAGTCCACCGAAAGAAATCGCGGAGATCTCTCCTCAGATTAAAATGATTGCCCATTACTGCGAACTCCTGAGGTAACCTCTAACAAGAAATGGATGAGCATTTCTTTCTGCGAGAACCCTAGAATATCCTGGACGTAACAAGAACGAACATTTCCCATTGCGTTCTCCTAGAGTAATCACAAATATAACCTCAATAATAAATGAGAATTTATACGTAAATATAGAGTTTTTTTTTCACCTTTTTGATTCATCAGGGGAACAAAATATTCATTCGGCCTCCCAATGCTGGGTGTCCCAAGTTATCGTATACAGGCAATATCTCGCTTATTTGCAAAATGATTGAAAAATTAATAGCTCCATTGAATGGCATCAAATACGTTTCCTGACTCCCCTGACTAATGGAAAATGTAATACATTTGCGAGTCCTCTGATGGTATTCCATTCAAAGCTGCCATCCTGATGGAAGATTATTTCGAATTTTGCAGTAAATTGATGATAATTATCTACTCTAACAAAATAGACAAGAATGTTTCAATTCAGGAACGGCATTTTTTCGAATGAATACCCGGCCAACTTCTGAAAAATGTTTTTAAGTAAAACTGTATACTTAAATAATGTCTTGCTATAGAATTCATCAGGTAATTAGATTTGATTTCACCTAACAGAAAAAAGACGTTTCGCTATATTGTTTCAATTGAAACTCAAAATACGTTGATCCAAAAGTTTCGTAATTTCATCTTTGGCGCTGAAAAAATATCGAGTAAATTTAACTTCACCCCGAACAATAAAGCTGACGCTAGCAGGACTTCGCCGACAGGCGACTGCTGATAACCAATGACTACCAAGAATTTAACACCATATCATATCATTGCCAGAACTTGAAGAGTTCGCCATCTCCTGAAGTCTTCGTCACAAGGCTTCGTTCGAGAATATCTCAAACACCTCGTAGTCGCGAGCACTCGAAGACCTCGCCAGTAGCAATTGATGCGAATCTCCAATGTCCTCGTCACAAGGCTATGTTTGCGAAATTCTCAAACAGCTCGTAGTCGAGAGCACTTTAAGACCTCGCTAGTGGCGATTGATGCGAATATCCCAAAGTTCTTGCCTGTGGGCATTGTATATGAATTTCTGCGTGGGATATCTTTGAGACCCCAGTGAACTCATCCTAGGCGGCGGACATTTGGAGGAGGAATAGCGCTTAAAGAAGGTACGAAGTTACAAAAGGTCCTTGAAGAATATATCTGTTGCTGCCCAGGATATACTTGGAACACCCTTCGTCCTGAAAGCCGAAAACATCGGCCAAGCATCGAAACATGAAACAGTTGATGGGGGTGGGATCAATCTACCATCTATCGATCTCAGGCCACCAGAATATGCAGTCGTGAGTGATTATGGCCTTCATATTGTTCAGTCAGTAATAAATGTACCTTCAATGTTGTTTGAGTCTTCAAATTTTCCCAAATGTTCTTACTTATGCTATCTGAGATTTGTATCTCCGGTAACTCCTTAGTATTCGACATCCTTCTCCACTTGCAGCTGTTCATTAGAAAGTATCAGACGTATAACTGGTACTGGTGGGGGACGTTCCCACGTCAGTAACTAGTCCCCAATAGGACCTTTTTGCAAACCCCAAGTGTTTTCAATGACTGATGTGGTTCGCTCAAGAGAGCTGGCTAACATCCTTTTTCAGGCACCGCCCATCAGCTCTCTTTTCAGAGTTTTTCAGCTGTGTTTTGTAGGCTAGTAATGTACTCACTATCATATGCGCAGTGGCAGGCCTGCTAACTATCATCGTTAACCCCCGAGACCGAGGTCTACTTAAGCAGCTGGCCCGCTCTCGCGCTCAGTTGGCAGTTTTTCCACACCCACCTACATACACCGTCCTACTCCTTCTCTGATGCTCACAACCACATCATCATATCTTTCTGCGTGTTCTGTGTAGGCTTTGTTACTAACTCCATGCGCCACTTTAGGAGCAGCACTGTTAATTGGAACGCAACAGCGAATCGTGCAGGACTATCCCCAGCCGATGCTCCGAAACTTCACAATATTTAATTCGTAAATAAAATATTGAAAAAAGTTCCTTGCCCGTGCTGGAAATCAAACCCACGACCTTGCGGTCGTGAGGCGGACGCTCTTTCACTGCGCCAATCCCGGCTCATCAGACGTATAAAGTTTTCACATTTTCGCTTTCTTATCATTGCTCGTAAGTAATTTTGAGAAATCAATATTTCACCTCCTAGATTAATCAACAGACAGTACTTCGAGGTATATTAATCTGAAATGCGACTCATTGTTCATACATTGATAGTGTCTCATCTTCAACCACCCCATCTTCAACTTTTGAACTGTTCAATATAAAAATCTGAAATGTAAAATGAGATTAGGTATGTAAACATTTCAATTCAGTTTTTGAACAAACGAATTCAATTTGTGATCTCAAATCAGATATAGCACTTTATCACAATTTCGAAGCAAGATTGAGGACACAATGTCCTCATCATGGAATTTCAGTCATGAAATGAGCTATAATTCAGTAAAAATCACTATAGGTGATTGACAGTCACTGACACCAATGGAATAGGTAATAAATTTCCTAATTACTTAAATCTCCCGGTAACAAAGGAATGAAAATCAATTATTTCTTCGGCGCGATTGTTATCATATTAAAAAGACATTCTTGGGGTATACTTAGTATAAGTTAATTGTTACAATAAGCAATTATCAGCTGAACGGTACTTCGAAACTTTATTGTTACAGTTGAAGGAACGCGCACGGTTAGGCGACAAAACATTGGATATTTCCTGTTAGAATGTGCTTGAAAATATAACGCAGATTGCATTGAGGAATTTGAAAATTGGCAATATATTATAGGTAACTACTCGAGTCTGATGAAGAGAAGGCTAACTACTTCAATAAATTCTACATCGAAATTGGGGCAGAAATGGCTGATGAAATTGAAAAACCTTCAACTCGTGTCTGAGAAAATCAAGCAAATATTGAAAATTTGAAATTTTTGCTCCCGGTAACAAATAATGAAATTTTATATATTATAGGTACGGTTGAAGATAATACCTTAGATGTACCTGATGGTAATGCAACTTAAATAATCAAGAAGTTTCATATTCTCTTTATAGAACCTCTCTGTCAAATACTGAATATAATATTCACGGTGGGAAAAACACCTGAATCTTTCGAAGAATCTATTACTACACCAATATTCGAATGAAAAAAAAACATGTCACAAACTACAGACCCATAACTTTAATCAGCACCATGGCCAAAATCTTCGAAAAATGCTTAGAAAATATATAGATTGGTACAATTTTGTGAAAATAATAATATCTTCTCTGAGTCACTATACGGATTAAGGGAGAACAGATCAACGGAGAAATCAGTTCATGAAATGATAATCAGAATATTGATAGCTGTTTCCAAAATCAAGAAGAATGTATTACGGTATTCTTAGACTTATGTACTCCTCCAGCGCTTGTGTAGTGTAGGTATAAGGGGTGCTGCTTGGAATGTTTTTCAAGATTTCCTATCAAACAGAGTCCAAAGTGTGAGAATAAATGATTCAACTAGTGATCCGCTCCTAATAAATAGAGGAGTACTTCAAGGAACGGTTTTGGGTCCTGTGATTTTCTTATTGTATTTTACGGGTGAGATAACATCATTCGCTTTCATCATAGTTCAATAGCCATCGACGAGTAAAGGTCGATTTTTCGGTGCTCCCGAGTTTTTGCTGATTTTAAGGTGTTTCGTGACGTTGTCTATCAGTGAAATTAGTACCAAACGGCTCGGCTATTTGAACTCTGTTCGAACAAAGTGATTATCAATTTCCCAAAACTGTCGTATAACATAAAAGTGCATGGTTTCAATGTTTTAAAAATGCCTGATAATTGCGGTATATGTAGTTCGTCAGTGACTCGTACAAACCCAGGAATTTTTTGCGCTGGTTTTTGCGAAAAAACATTCCACTACAAATGTGCTAAACTGCCAGTGGCGTTCCAAGAATTCGCTGATGACTCAAGTATTACCTGGAAATGCGGAAATTGCAAAAATAAAAAGCATGATGATAACTCAAAGTTGGATCAATTGATAGTTTCTATATCATCTCTACAAGGTGATCTAAAAGATATGAAGCAGAAGCAGGATCAGGTTTTTGATTCTCTAAACTTCTATGGCGGAAAAATAGACGATTTTGGAGCAAGGCTAGATAATTTTCAAAAAACCATCCACTCACTGGAAGGTACGAAAAATGATGTGGAAGCACTGAAAAAGGAATGCGGAATGCTACGTGCTGAAATAGAATCTATTCACCAGATGAACCGCGCGGAAAACATAGAAGTATTTGGAATCCCGGAAAAAAGAAATGAAAATCTTCTCCAAATTATCAAAAAAATCGCTGATGAGATTAAGTATCCTTTGCAAGATGCAGATATTATTGAATGTCACCGAATACAGTCACACCCTAACAACAAAGAGAAACAGACTCCAAAGAATATAATTGTGAAGTTCGCAAATCGTTCACGAAAAAGTTATTTCATGAATGCCCTGAAAGTCCATAAAACCAGGCTATCCTCAGGATCCTTGGGTTTCTCTGAAAACAATGACGTCTACGTCAATGATCACCTATCTCATTATTACAAGTTGTTGTTCAAACTCTCCCGGGAATTCAAGAAAGCCCATAATTACCGGTACTGCTGGACCAAAGATGGAAAAGTTTTCCTGAAGAAATCTGAAGGCTCTCGAGCAATCCTTGTAACAAATGAAGATACCCTTAGAAGACTTCAATCCGCTTCCTAAAAATTCACAATATTTTTTTTTTGTATCACAGAAGTAACGGTATCAAATAACATTCAGTGATCTAAATATATTTTATCAAAATACCAGAGGACTAAAAACTAAAACTAATCAGTTCTTGAGAGCTGCTACATCTCCCGAATCCCAAATTATTTGTATAACCGAAACGTGGCTTGATGAGGACATCCTGAACTCAGAGCTGTTTCCACCATCATACCAAGTGTTTCGCAAGGATCGTAATTTGATGTCTAGTGGAAAATGTCACGGAGGAGGGGTTATGATAGCCGTTCATAATAATTTAATGTGCAATAGTGTTTCACAGTGGAGTAGCAATGGCAGGATTGAAGAGATATGGATATCAGTAGCGCTGGATGGGGGTAAGAAGTTATATTTATGTTGCGTTTACGTCCCCCCGACTGTAAATGCAGATGATTTGAAGTTGCACTTAGAGCAAGTAGAAAATATCATCAATAATAATCCTCAGCATCTGTTTGCTATAATTGGAGACTACAATCTCCCAAAATTGAGCTGGGAAAAAGATAACAACTATAAACTCTTTGGTCTAAATCCATCAGGCGCCACTGACAAGAAAAGTGAACACTTCATCAACTTTCTCTCTTCGGCAGATTTGAAGCAGTTTAATGATGTAAAAAATTGCAATGGAAGAATTTTAGATATTGTATTGTCGTCGAGTGACACGAATATAAAAATCTGCCCCGCGATGCTTCCATTCGTCAGTGAAGATCCTCATCACAAGGCACTTGAGATAACTCTAAAATATGTTGAGCAAAAAAAAATCCCTAGGAATTCTCGTATCAAGTTTTTGTATGAACACTCAGATTTCACTCAAATCAATAACTTTCTCACCAGCGTTGACTGGGATAATACTTTCAATGACAAAGATATTGATGACTGTGTCAATATCTTCTATAATATCTTACAGCAGGCAATTGATGAATTCGTACCAAAAAAAGCACTCAATAATAAAAAATACCCTCCTTGGTTTTCAAAAGAAACACTGCTTCTCTAAGAAACCCTGCTGACTATGACCGATTCTCTTACCTCCGTAGAACATTAAAAAAAAATATTGACGACGACTTCAAAAAATATATTGAAAAATGTGAAAATAAAATAAAAAATGATCCTAAATACTTCTGGTCATATCTATCGAAAAAAAAAAATATGCACTCCATTCCTATGCAAATGAATTTTTGTGATAAATCCTATGAGGGGACAGAATCGATCTGTGAAATGTTCTCGAATTATTTCAGTGGAGTTTTCGAAAGTAATCAAACCCCATGCTTGATTGCCAAAGAATCAACTCAACACGCTTTCAATATCAGCACTATAACGGAAAAACAGATAATGGAAACTTTGAACGAGCTTGATTGTAAAAAAGGGCCTGGTCCTGATAACCTGCCTCCACATTTCATTAAGACATTGAGCAATAGTTTGTTGAAACCCCTTTATTTACTGTACAATAAATCACTTCGCTCAGGCTTATTCCCATTAAAGTGGAAAATAGCGAAAGTTATACCCATTTTCAAGTCTGGAGATAAAACAAACGCAGGGAAC